AGTGTATTCTAGACTTGTACAATAAGTACATTATCATTTTACATATACATAAATAGTACATATATTGTATAATAAAAGTCACAATGGAAAATAAGCACATTATCACAAATTCATATTTTGAGATGATTAAAATGCAAAAGTACGTAGTTTTATAAGAAAGTGTATGAGCACCAGAGGCAACGTCAAAGCCTCAGCTTAACAGGCATTAAGACATATGTTCGCACCTTAAACAGGCTTTTGTTTTCTTTAGAAAAATGAAAATGATGTCACATTCCTATTTATGAAGGAATTAAATAATTCTATATATCACCTATCTTCATATATATAATATTTATCAATTAAGAATTCAGAAACATGCAAATGAGTTTAATTATTTTACATTATAACATAGAGAAAAAGACAAAAAGACTAAAATATGATAATCATTTTTGAGGGAAATGATATTAACACAAAAAGTGAACTAAAACATGTGTTGATGAAGTCTAAACGCTAGGAAATCAATGAATTACAAAGCTTTGAAATGGTTAAAAATAGAAATCCTTCATAATTATTAGACATGCATCATTAAAAATGCAATTCAGACTCAGCAATTACCACTCCTACCATGTAAGATGACGTAATTCCGCGGTAAGAAAAAGTGTTGAATAAATATATGAGTTTTCGTATGGCATTTTGAAATACAAATAAAGAAAGGGATAAAAGTGACAATGGTGCATTAGTATAACGAACTTCATAAATTTAATTTAATTTGTATTTCATATCTTTCAAAAACAGAAATAACATTGTGTTGTGTATTACATTTTACACGAAGGATATAACCGAAAGCACAAATATGTAATCGATTGGTGATTATACTCATATTTGCTTTGATGTCTAATTGCCATCGTTTTCATTTATAGAATAGATGCTAACATAAGAATATACACAGATTATTACCAGATACGAAAGGACTTATGAGGGTGATAATAATAATATCATCTTGTTATATAGAATCATTTTACTTGATTCCTGTCTGTCAAATAGAAAATCTATAAAAACTGTTTCAAAATATTTTACGATTCTGAGAAACACGCAGAGAGACTGTCTTATGAAAACAGCATGAGTGTAAGCTAAACATATATTTAAGTAAAAGAGATATTTTACTTAAGCTGTTTCGAATCCCTCATTTTTTTTAGATAAAGCAAACTTTATTGTAAAAATCCATGCTTGAATGTATCAAGATATTTCAAGTAGCATAGGCAGCTTGTTATGTATATGTAATGTTGATTACCTCTTGTTCTCTGAGCCTGGATAAAATATTTTATTGAGTAATAGATGGCTTTTTAATGCATCTGATTGTATTTCTTGATATTGTTTATATCCCTTTGATTTGTTTAAGATATTTCTTTATTAAAAACAAACTACACAGGTTACTCAAAACAATAGTAACACAATGCGATCACGTTTATTCTCAAATTTGATAAAAATAGTGTTCAGCATTTACACATTTAAAACCAATATTTATTAGTCCTTATATAACCTATAATGCCTTCTCAAAATTATATTTTGTTTAGTTAGCGTTCGTTTCTATTCTATCTTTTCTTTTTTAAAGTTCGAAACAACAAATATAAATCGACAATTGATAATCGAGCAAATTATATAATTCTAAATATCTGATATAAAAAAACTCACACGAAGTTTGATTATTTGGCTTGTCTTGGAAATACATCAAATCTAATAATATTTCATTAGCGGGCATTATAATTAGAATTGCTATTATTAATGACAATAATATTAATCTAGCTAGCAAAATTCTGCAGGGAATAAGAAAATGTTTACTATTTCCTCTGAGATTTTATTGACATAATATATTTCTTCGATGTACTTTCTAAAAAACCTGTATAAATACTTTGATTATATAATGAATAGGATGATTAAGTGTGACATATACGGAATGACTCACGATAAGTCCAGTTATACATGATCACATGAAAAACCATTTTAGACGTTTCTTCGTTGAAAGAGTGTTACTTACTGAATATTATGAATTTTATTGACATTAAAGATATGTGTTAATCAAGTTTTCATTATTCAAGAATATACCTCATGAACAGTATAAGGAATGCTTTAATGGGAGGCTTGACTCAGATGTTCAAATTCATATATATGCTCTTTATTACTATCATTAAATGATATTCAATTTCAACACACAATATCTGGTTAAAAAGCAATTTTATATGATTGTAGGAAACGAAGTATAAACAATGATATTTTGGTCCACAGTCTAAAACATAATACGAAGTAAATGAGTATTTAAGTTACTGAAATGACAATGAAGAATTTTATACTCATAACCGTGCTTAAATGACTATATATAACTAAATTCTTTATCATTTATGCATTCATCACTGACGCTGCAAGTTTATATGTATAAAACCTACTTATATCATTTCCTCGCGAGAGGGAAACTTAGCAAAAATTAAATCAGCTTGTGCTATCATTGATTAAAGAATAATACTTATTCTGGTTGAAATATTATCAACATCATTAGCTTATTTATACCAGATATTTGACAGAAAAAAAACAGCCTCAAAATATGCCTTGGCAATGGATTGATTTGAAACTGAAAACCTCCACAGAAGTTTTATAATGATCTCTATTAAGAAGATAAATTAAAGAAGATACGACAATAGTTATACACATCTGTTTTTTCATCGATATGCGTATATTTTTCCCAATTTTTTACCTTCGTTGTCGTTGAAAGTAAGGGTTCGAAACAAACTAAGTTTATTCATCAAGTTTCAAATGAACAGGTGACCAGTACGATAGCATGTATGTTAAAGGACTGTAATATTGTAAAAGGTAATGCCCGAAAAGCTTTGTATAAAGCAGACAGAGCTAGATACTTAAGACAGACAGTCAGGTTTCATGTCGTTTAATGTGTCACACAGTCGATTTAACATTCATTCCTTTTGACTTTTTAACAAAAAATATTACATTAAATGTGCTTTTAATTCATATTCAAGTCCTTCTTTTAAATATTTTATATCTACGTAATTCAACTCACTTTCAATTTGTTTTGCATAGAAAGGAATGCCACAGCATATAAAATGCTTTACGAAACAGCTTTATTATTTTCTCCATTTTAATGGAATGTAAATATCAACTGCCACCAAACAACATAAACGTGCTGTTTTAATATTTAAAACGTTGCTGTTGTTAACAAAAATGCTGTATTTCATTTAATTGAAAATATCGAACGAATATGATTTATACATAAGATTCTATTTCCTGATATGTCCACCAAATAAACATGTTGAAACAATAAATAATTGAAAGAATGTAATTAGTGCAGCTAATTCTATAAGCACTCAACATGTGATATAGCTAAACTGCACAATGTGAAAATGAACGGCGAAAGATGCTGGAAGAAAAAATATTGTGATAATATTAGATTAAATCTAGCTCAAACCCGTATAAATCCTTTCGTGTTGTGATTCACTCAGGATGGTATTGTTTTATATTAATTATATTTATTATATGTGAGATAAATCATCAACATAACATGCGATACATTTATTCTTGATAAACCATACATGAAGCAGGAAATGGCAAATCATAACTATTTGTTATTTTAAGCTTTTGATCAATATTTGACAAAATTACAAAAGCAAGAAATGTTTAGTTTCACCGCTAGATATTTTATATATATGAGTAACGAACAAAATACATTTTTAAAAGGATAAGATAATGTTTGTAAGCTATGAACATTTAAAAAGCGAAAGTAATATTTGCTACAATTAATATTTATCCAATGAACAGCTCACATAAACTTAATTATTTTGCATGTCTGCTGCAAATTCAAAGGAACTATTCAACGGAGACTTAAGTAAATCCCGAACTGTTTTGAACAATAAATAAGTAAGCGTTTTCCTTACTGAAATCTAATTAGCCAGTATGAACGAATGCGCCCTGTCTTTAGTTTGCTCTTATATCAATATGCCTGCTGGATATGAAAATCTACTTTGTATAATAAACAAACACAACATTTAATAAAGTGTTTAACCGAAAAGTTAGACATTCTAAACCACTGATCAAAATTACTTAATGTTTAAAACAGCGAAGCGTTGAGAACTATTTGAGTGTTAATCAGCCAGACAATTACTTGATGAAAGCAAAATATTAAAATAATAAAGTCACAGCAATAACACGTATAATATCATTTTTTATTTTTCCAACGTTTCGGCAAATGTATGCCTTTTTCAAGGTAAATAAATAATAATAATATCAACGGACGTGACGTCGTAATTTTAAAATTAACGTCACGCCCACTTTAGCGGAAAAACGAACAAATACGAACAATTCCAATTCATGATAAAAGAGATAAGTGCACCAAACAAAGCATCAAAATATAAAAACGACACAATAGATATCGGATTAATAAATACGAATATTTCCTATAGGGTTTAATTATAAAAAATGATAATAGGAAAAAACGAATATCTATGTGGCGTAATTTTAGCATTTGTAGCGTGGATTGATATTTTATGAATTATTTAATTGAGTATAACAACTTTGTGTTCATTCCTTCTGGAAAATGAGTTTTTAGCTTATGAATCCAAAATGTTTCTTTGCACAAACGATCTAAAGTATTGTAAACAACATCTATGGGCATAAATGAAAAGTCGGTAAAATTATGATCGTCCTTATTAAAATGATTTGCAACATTAGTGGAGAATGCAGGATCTACAAAATTGCATATATCAAATTTATGGCTATTCATTCGTTTAGACACAGGTTGTTTGGTTTGACCAACATACTGCATGCTACATTTTTTACATGTTATCAAATATATACAATTCTTGGTTTGACAGTTAGTATGTTGACGTAAGTCAAATATCTCTCCTGTATTTGAACTGTAAAATGACGTACCACTATTAATACGAACACAATGAGAACAGCGTTTTCTACAACAACCTCCAGAATGTGATGTAAAGTCACTGTCAGTATCAAATCTAGATCTAACTAAAGTCTTGTAAGTTTCTTGGACGTTTATAGGCAATTATGGGTGTGTAGTTATTGTGAATATTTTTAACACCTTCGTTTTTTGACAGATTTAGTAGGTCCCAATATTTATGAATAGTATTTCCAATATTAGGTAAGGACGGATTATATGTCACAATAAATGGAAGAACGTTTTTCTTTTCTTTATCTTGTGGCCGTAAGGCATCCTCTTGTGACATCTGTGACACGTGAAGAAACGCTGAATCTATAACCGTCTCAGGGAAATTTCTACTTACGAAGAATTCTCGTAGTTTGCTCAGTGAAGTAGAGAACACGTCGTCGTCGGATATAATTCTCCTGTAACGCTTAGCCTGACTGTGGGGTATTCCGTCTTTACACCGTTTTGGATGACAGGATGTATAATCAAGATATTGGTGGTTGTTAGTTTCCTTTACATAAACATTAGTTTGAAGTTCGTACGATTTTCCTTTTGATACTTGAACATCAAGAAACGAAACAGATTGTTGAGATATGGTGTGGGTGAATTTAATGCTTGGGTGAACATTGTTGATTTTGTCAATAAATGTGTTAAGTTCTTCAAGAGAATGATCCCAAAGCATAAAAATATCGTCTAGAAAACGAAGCCACAATGACGGTTTAAGCTGACTATCTTTCAAAAACTCCTCTTCGAATTTCCCCATAAAAAGTGCTGCGTACGCGGGGGCGACTGGGCTTCCCATAGCGGTACCCATTTTTTTAAATTTTTTTTTTGTTTTTTTTTTTTTGATGAAAGCAAGCAACAATTAATTCCATTACAAATGTCAACTATATTAAGCAGGTACATAAATTCTGAGGAGCTCCGAGAGCGATCAAAATGACAAAAAGGCCTTACTTTAACTAAAAGCAGCTGCCCTTAGTTTTCGGTGGTTAAAATTAGTCATTGAAAAGTGGTTATAATTTATAGTGGATGGTGAATCAAACATATAAAACAATCGAGAAAAGGGGAGTTTGTTAACCGTTTTTCAAAATAAGAAATCGACCTTGAGAATTTAGACGTTATCGGCTGATTTATCAGATGCGCTGGCAATTTTGATTTTGAAGCATTCATGTCATTAAATCAAAATTTTCCCCAAAACGTTTTCCAAAATAAACGTGAAGACATCACTGTTTTCATCTCTCCCCAGCAAAGTCTAGACTATTGAAACCATAATTTTAAACTCACTCTGTCAGCAAAATCCTATATAAGATAAACATTGCAGGCTGATATAAAACTTTTTCATACAGCAGGATTCTTTGAAATATATACAAATCTGGCATTAACCCATAATCTGCTCAATTGTATTATGAATCTGTATTGTTTTAAACAGTCCATTCAGAGATTGTAAGGACATTTCATTATCACAATAATTACGAGCCACCAACAGTAGAGCATGTTCCAGCACGGTAAGAGTTAAAAATAGCAACAACTTCCTTCAATTAAAAAACGATGTTCAATTCTTCATTCAGGTCCGGTTTCAAATAAATCAAGATACCTTGAAAATAAGTTATGTAGCCTAAAGAAATCATTTTTAGATAATGGAATTGTACGTGCTGTTTACGCAAGGCCATCCCTATATCACTCATAGTGAGAAAAGTCAAATTACCACCATTTCCAGACTGATATCTATTTTCAGAACAATAATGTGTAATATAAATGAGTATCAAACCGAATTGTCTTGCAGAAAGATTGATAGGTTTTACAGGTGAAATACTTAATATCTTACAGGTGTTTGCAAATGGCAAATAACGAATATTCTGAATGTTGCTTCAAACTTGTTTATTACATGATGCACAAACCTATGTTGTCAGTACGTTATAATCCATTTGAACAAATATCATAGTTAAGAAATCAGTCAAAAGCAACATGCATGTAAATGATTTCTGATTCAAATGTTTATGATTCTTTGACTGCTTTATACAAGGATATTTTGAAACTTCTTCACAGTGTAAGTAATCTAAAACATTGAACTGTAGAGACACAAACATGTGTAACTTGTACGTTGTGAGTAAATCATAAGATAAAACAAGAGCAAGATATTTTTACCGAAGTGCATGATTCATAAAACATTTATAGAAATCTACAAGGCAACGCCATGTGCCAAATATAGATTATATATATCCGCAATATTCCTAAAACTTAGTCTTCTTAAATAAAGTGAGTTACGGGACACGACCAATTTTGACCTTAGGGTCATGATTAATATAACTTTTGTAGAAATCTACAAAATGATACTACATGCCAAGAATAAAAGCTTCTAAATCCAAATTTTGATATGTTTAATGGTTTTCTTGTAGGAAGGAAAATAACACGCTAATGCTGATATAAAAAGTAAATATCAGATTTGCTTTGTGAAAACTAGCCCTTGTAGCTAAGTCGGTTAGAGCAAAAGACTCGACGTTCTGGTTAGATATCCAGACTGGCCTACTTAAATTACTAAACAGTTTTTCTTATTATACTTTTAATCGAGTTCTCGTGTATGAATGCTTAACACTAAATAACTAGAAGATAATGGAATTTTGACATTTTTTGTCCTCCAAAATCCCAAAATGACTTACAATATTCTGGAATACTTGCCCATATTGGCAACCGTCGGCGAGTATAAATACATATGTAAACTCAATACACATACATGATTTGTGTTACATTTTCAAAATAAAAAATAAATTATTGATAAATTTGATATAATTAATAGAGGATGGGGTATATTTTTTTTAAATATTATATACCTTTCGGAAAACGACATATTCAAGTAAGTTCTCTCAATTTAACCACTTTTACACAATACTCGCAAAAATGTAATTCCTATAAAGTAATTCCCTATTACAGGTCATGTATGTTGGTCCTTTCTTTTAATGACACTAAATATAAATATTGAGACCACCTATAGTGAGTAGAATTTTAAACATAATATATCTATTTTGAGATAAGTCAAAGCATGTTTAATTTTTATAGTTACAAAGAGACTGTGTGGCAATTATCAATTTTTTTTAATATAATAAATTTTGAGCATAGTTTTTCTTTAGTTGTTCATATTCAAACATTGAAACTGTAGACTTTAGACTTTGTTTTTCATGATCAGAACAAACTGTTTATTCTAGACTTGTACAATAAGTTCATAATAATTTTAATGTACATTGTATAATAAAAGTAACAATGGGAAAATAAGCACATTATCACCAATTCATATTTAGAGAGGATGTACTGTATTTTATTAAATATAATACATGTATTACGTAGTTCTATGAGAAAGTGCATGAGCACCAGAGACAGGACCTAAGTCTCAGCTTTACATGCATTTAAGATTTAATTTCGCCCCTTAAACAAACTTTTATTCCTATATAAAAATAACTATGATGACACATTCATATTTATGGAGCAATTGGAGAATTTTATATACATGTATTACCTACCTTAATAAATATAATACTTATCAATTTAGAATTCAGAAACATGTAAATGAGTTTAATTATTTCATATTCTAACATGGTGAAAATCACAAACAGACAAAAATATGTTATTCATTTTTGAGGGAAATGATATTAAGCAATTATTAACACACAAAGTGAACTTAAGCATAATTATGTTGATAAAATCAATAAATAACAATGCTTACAATGATTAAACATAGAAATACTTCATAATTATTAGACATGCATCAAATAAAAATGTAACTGTATCAAAACCAGACTCAGCAATTATCACTCATACCATTGGTAATGTAGGATGACGTAATTCCGCGTTAAGTTGCAATAGGAAAATGTGTTAAATAAATATATGAGTTTTTGTATCACATTTCGAAATACAATTAAAAAAAAGGTTAAAAAGGTTACAATGGTGCATTAGTATATCGAACGTCATAAATTAAATGTTTATTTGTATGCCAAATTTTTCAAGAACAGAAATTACATAGTGTTTTCTTGTTTTCTTTAATATTACTTTTCACAAGAAAGATTTTACCGATAGTACAAATATGTAATCGATTTGTGACTATACTTATATTTGCTTTGATGACTACCGCCATCATTTTCATTTATCTTATATTATTCATCATGAACAGACCAGCTGGTATTATAATTAGAATTGCTATTATTTATGACAATAATGAACATATATTCCATTAATCTAGCTAGAAAAATTCTTCAGGGAAATTAGAAAATGTTTACGATTTCCTCTGAGATTTTATCAACATAATATATTTCTGCTAGTGACGATAATGATCTACTATTTAGAATACCTGTTATCAAATATGAGCAGGACGATTAAGAGCGACATGTACGAAACACTACTCGCGATAAAATTGAGAAAATAGGAATCCCTAAAGAAAATGTTGCAGGCTTCGTTTGATTGAGCCTGTTAATGAACGGAACTGTCAAGTGCAAACTACCGTCAACGCCCCTTGCACCAACTTAAGCGGTATACAACATTTAAAACATGTAATAGTAAAAATTTGAATTTAGAAACATCCACAGATGTGTTCATACGGCGGTAATCATGGAACCTTCAATGTGACACTTTCGAGCCATTCCATGAAAAGTGGCGCATGGTCCAAAAGTAAAAAAAGTGTTTTCCCTAAACGAGAAAACAATGGGTAAAACTAAATTAAATGGAAATTAGGAAGGGGATCAGAGGTTATGAAGCCTGCAAATCACAGATTGGATGCCAAATGACAGATTGTAAAAGCAGGCAACATATCCTAAGGGTGATTCAACATTATTCAAGTAGGAATATTAAACCACCCAACTAGAAAAATGCCGAAAAGTGAAAACTGAAAGTACCATAAACACAACAATAATGTCGTGCCATACGATCTTTAGGAATCGGAGATTGAATGTACGGGGCGACTTTTTACAGCCTCCACACGGAACAAACAACACTACTGTGGCGATAAAAATGAGAAAACAGGACTCCTTAAAGAAAGTTTTAAAACGGCAAAATTGAAAATGTTGCAGACTCTGTTTGATTCAGTCATACATGATCACTAGAAAAAACCCTTCAGAAGTTAACTTGTTGAAAGAGTATTACTTGCTGAATAATATGAATTTTATGATATTTTAGATTTGTTTTAATCAATTTTTCATTACTCAAAGAATCGATTTTATGAACAATATAAGGAATGCTTTAATGGGATGCTTTAATTCAGACGTTCATTTGCATATATTATTTCCAGTGAATACGCATGCCATCTCTACTTCTTGTCACGTATTGCTATGTTTCTGCTTTTTGTATATGTAAATATTGATGCTTTGTCAATGGCTCTTTTTAGGGCTTAAGTGTTGAGAATTGAGTACCGCTCAGTCGGTGCTAGGGGGCGTGAGGGATGTTGCACTTATTCAGTATCCCTCATGTACAGACTCAATTAAACCGAGTCTGCAATTCTCTTGTAATTTTGTTGTAATTAATGCTTCCGAGGGATCACTTTGTTTCCAGATTTTTAAGTACAAAATAAAATTTCTTCTTCTATGCTCGTTAATATCATAAAATTATATTGAATTTCAACACACAATATCTGGTTAAAAAGCAATATATTATGGAAACGAAGTATAAACAATGATAATTGTGGTCCACAGTCTAAAACATCATACGAAATAAATAAGTATTCAAGTTAATGAAATGACAATGATGAATTGTCTTTATGTATCTGCAACTCCTTTAGACAAATTAAAATTTCCTAGTTTTTATAAATCGTTGAGCAATATTAATAAACATGTGAGT